AAGGCAAGTTACTGCTTTATATAGTTTCTCAGTGGAAAGAAGAAAAAAATGAGTCAGTCTCTGGTTTACCTGTAAGGAAGTTTCCTTGTTTACATGTTAAACTGAAGAAATTTATTTTTTAAAAAGCTCAATGTAAGCTGTTTAAAGCAAAACAAGCAAAACCCAACCCTTTTAACAGCAAATGTAATTAATCATTACAACAAGTAACAAGGGCTGTGGTTGTCTCTGCTGGAAGTATTTGAATTATTATCTGGTGCTGTAGGTCAAGCATAACTGTGTTACTTGAATAAAGATTTTATTTAGGAAAGTTTTCTGGCATGCTCCGAAATGAGATGAACTAGATGGTTCCAATGGAATCTCTGGCCTTTTAATAATAGTAAAAAAACCCACCATTCACTGCTAATGTTGCAAAAGATCTGTGGAACAGGAAGTATTGGGAAAAGGAAGTATTTCTGATAAAGGGTAGACTACTTTAGAGAAGTTTTAGATTTCTAACTGTTGAGAAACATATAGCTCAGTAGCTGAACTACTACCACTCAATTCTTTCACTGGTTAGTGGGGTTTATCAGTGATCATAGTTTCTTGAAGAGGCACTGATAGTTGCGTTAAGGTGGAATAAGTCCAACTTTCAGATATGAAATTTGATCTTCACATACCTCAGCTTCTACTTTGTGTAGATGCCAAATTTTTGCTTTTTGCAGAATAACCAGAATACAATTTTGATCAGGCTGAATGTTATCTAAGCTCTTCACCCCCAGAGGCACCCCCCCACCTTTCACCTCTGAGTGCTGCTGCCACTTGTAGTAGCTTAAATTCAAGAGAAGGGAGGAACCATGCAGAATGGCACTCAAAATTGTCACCTGGCCCATCTCCAGTGCCTGAATTGTTGTTGCTCTTAAGGGCAGAATCTGTTAAGGATCCCCAAAAGGGTTCTAGCTCATTAGGAGAGGAGAAAGTAAAAAAAAAAAAAAAAAAATCTCCATGGATGAGGGATTTATCTGAGCATCCTTGGACACATGGACCTCTTGTGCCACTGACAATCATACTGGCTGGCCCTGGATTGTCCTGCCCAGCCACCCCTTGTGCACAAGCAGGATGGTATGCATTTGTCTAATGATAGCAGCCATGAGATTTACATTTCCACTGGGTATGTTATTTGCAGAGTTAGATGATGTTTGTTCACCTGTAATTCATAGATTTCCTCTCTACTACTTAGTTCTACTAGATGACTTTATCAAGTTTAAATTTCTGTAAGTTGAGGCTATTTCTTTGCAACTGCATTTCCCTTTCTACCCAATTCTTCAGTTTTGAAAGTTCCAATTGTAAAGGTCAGCCATAGCCTGATTCTCTCAGGTTCCCTCCTGCTTTATAGCCAACACCTTTTGTCCATTTGATAGTTGGAAGTTTCTTACAGGAGGAGGTCTTGTACATGCTCTAGTAAACCTCTCTTTTCATGCCCCAAGCTACAAATTCTAAGCCTTCAGCTTCAGCCATTTACACCTCCTATTGCTCTTCTAATGTTCTATCAACATTTTTTTTTTCCAATCCAGTTATTCCAGTTAACCTGAGGATTTATTAGTACAGGTCCCCTTTGGGAGCCCCCATAGGGCTCTACATGTTTGGTTACAAATTTATCATTGTAGGCGCATTAGCAAAGGATTGGTCCCCCTTACACATTTAATCTCAGGAATACTCACAACTTGACCAGATCCTGTGGGCTACAAAACTGTTAAGGGATGTTAGGAGCAGCCACCTCCTCCAGGAGCCCAGCCCAGCCCCCGGGGTCCCTGCTCAGGCTGGGGGATGCAGCTGCCACTTTCCCATTTGCAGGTTTGCACGGTAGCAAGGCTGAGCACAAATCCCAGAGACAGACACAGGGGACACACACACACACACACACATGCGTGCGCACACACACACACACACACACATATGCACACGACACTGACACGGCTGGTCACATAGACTGCTATGGACAAGGTGCTGCCCTCAACAGCACCCACACACAGTACCCACATAAGATGTAAACACAGGCAGCCAAGTCCCCTCCTTTTCTCTGGTAGATGTGTCAGTTCACTGGTGAAAGCACACGTATGCCTCTAGGTTCACAGGCACATGGATGTCTGCACATGCCCAAGTATGGGCAAGGCCCCTCTGCACACCTGGTACCCCTGCCTCCATCCTGGCCCTCACACCTGCTTCAAGGGTCCTTTACTTGCTGGCTGGCACAGCTGGATGCACCAAACACAAGCACTCACACACTCATCCCATGGGCACTCTATGTTCCTGTCGTACCCCAGCGTAGACTTGCAAGATATCTCCCTTTCAGGCAAAAGGTGAAATTTTCACTCATTCAAGGAGACGAAGGAAAGGCAGAGGGGGCCCATACCGCCTGGGTGTCAGCTCGCAGCTACTGCTGTGGGACTGACCCTTCAACCCGATGATAACTAGAGACTCAAAGGAAAAGCTACAAGACACACAAGGGCTCCTCCTGGTCACAATGTCTATCCTGAGCCCGCTCATACTGGAGACAGGGAAGGGGAGGGGATAACTGGCAATCCAGGACCAAACCTCCACCTGTTGTGCTTGCAGCCGAGTTAACGCCAGTCCCTGCTGGGGCGGCTGCATGTTTCGGCCCTGTCCCGAACCCAGCTTGTTCATTGCACGTTCATACCACGTTAATAGCTGAAACCAACCCAGACTTCCCCAACCAACCTCTCCTAAATTTTACCAGATACCAGAAGTACCTTTACCAGACTTACCTTGACCAGACCAGAATTACAATTACTTTTCCCTCTTTTAGCTGGCAGTGGGGCACTGGACTGACATGCGTTAAAAGCTGGGATTCAGCAGCTCCTGCACGCCGCAGGAGCCTACAGATGACCCTCGGCTGAAGCCCCAGCAGGGATTTCAAAAGGTCCTGTACCTTTCCAAGCAGTGGCAGGGAGCAGCCCACGGTCCTCCCGAGCGAAGCAGGACATGTGAATCCCAGTCGCGGCACCTGAGGCTGTCGTGGAAATAACCCAAACTGCAATTTAGATCAGGTCAGAGCAGAAGTGGTTTATTGCTACGGCTATAGGTGAGGACAGGGAGGAGCAGAGTGACAGCCTCTGCTGATGTGAACTCTGCCCAGCTGGGGCAGCTACAGAGTTCCTATAACTTTTACAACCCATTTTTCACCAAAACTGTGTCAGATAAGCAGCATTTGGTACATAACAACAGCAAATGAAATTCATCAGACAAGGAGGCTCTAGACAGTACATCCTTTTACAAATAGTTCACTCCTTTGTCAATTAAATTGTTCTGACCAGCAAGATCCTTTGCTTCTGAACTACTGAGGCCTGCAAAGGCCTGTGAGACATTAACTATCTTGCTTTCACACACTGAAGGTGACTAAGCAATTGCAGTGCTTCTGATCACTTGCCTGTGTAACTTTCATAGTGCTCTTATGAACAAAAACGCTGACTTTTGCTATTTTAGAGCAACTCCAAAATAAGTAAAGCACAGGCAATGGTTAAATGCAGAAATAAGAGAGCTTCTTGGTGTGATTTTCAGCAGTCATTTACTCGTGAAATGCACATAAACACATGCAGATTTAGTAAAAGTCCGGTAACTAATGATTTTTAATATGGAATCTGCTGGTGCTCACAGAAACACCAGCATGAGACCAGTGAAAATTGACCATTTGTCTCCTTTCATAATTTGCTATGGTCCATGAGATCATCAGGAGCAGCAGGGACATCTCCAGTGCAAGAAGCAGAAGTGGACACAGATAAATTAAATGGAATACAATACAAGTCTCTCTACATCTCAATCTCATTAACATTTTTAAGTTTACATTTTTTCTGTAAGTTAAGTCTTTACATTTCAGATTTTGGGGAATAAATTTAGAAAGAACATGCTAGCAAACTGCAGTTTGAAATAGAAGTTAATACGTACTTTTTAGAAACAGTTTTCCTACACAGTTGTTTCAACTGGGGATCCTGTCCTGTATTTGCATAGATGATATGCAATTCAGTTTGCCTAAAGAGGCATGCTGATAATCATACATCAGTATGATTAGTTTGTATTAAGCAAGCAAGGATTTGAAGACATTTGCAGAGGATCAGATTCTAGCAGAATAAGTTGTTTTAAAAAAATTTCATATTAAAGTTGCTAATTGCTGTTCCAGAGTGAAAAATGACTGTATGTAATACACCTATATTAAAAATGCAGTGGTTAAAAATAGGCATGATAGGATATATAGGATCTGTAAACTTTTGTTATATATATGCATATTTCTATAAAACTACAATAAAAGAAAGTTGATACTCAGTTCTCCCTCACACTTTACTGTAAAGGTAAGTTTTTAAAAATCAAGTATTTGACTTTTAAAAAATTAGTTTTCTTTCACTCTGTGTGCAGTCCTGAAATTGTTTATATTGAGATATTTGTATCGAGAAGCAACTAAGGAAGAACTGGTACACTGGAGAACTTCATTGGAAGGGATTGCTTACAGATGTATAACTGCAAGTAATTTTCTCTCCTTTTATGAGAGAAATGTCATCCCCTAAAGATTAAAAAGCTTGTAGGTCATGGCAGTGAGACTTAAATAGTGGGCTCAACAAATGGCCAAAAACAAACACATAGCTGTTACCTGAGGATATGGCTGATCTCACTTTCAAATGCAATATGTATCATTTTGCTTCTATCAGCATTTTAAATATTGGGATTTGTTTTTTCTAAGCACACTGAAATCCCTTTGTTGTTGGTAAATGGTGTCTTGATTCTCAGTCCCTAGGTTAATGTGTCACAAAATGCTTTCTCTTTTGTGATGCGTACTAGGATCAATCAAGGTTTGTCTTGGCTCAATTAGCAAATGAAGCACAATTTTGGAAAGCATGTTTTGAATGAAGCAAAACTTTGCCCAATGTCTTTTTTCTTTCCTTCCTGTGACTTGTGAACATTGAAGCATGTGGTTCTCGTTCCAGGTAATGTCTGCTACTGTGTTGTAACACTTGACTTGGTAACCTTTGTTGTTGTATTTAGTGTCAAGTTATGGTGCTCAAAAGAAATCAGAATGACCCTCAGACATCTGTACTCTTTAATAACTAGAAAGCTATACAAAAACTTGCTTTTATATTTGCTATAAGCTTAGCTCTTAGATTAATACCTTTCTCTGTTCAAATATCCGGTATTTTTCTCTGTTCTTCCCCTAGCGATGGACTTACAAAGAAGACTTGGAACTGAAATCAGGAATAAGGGAGTTTGGAGTGGGTAACTGGGCTAAAATTTTGGTCCATGGTGACTTCAACAACCGAACTAGTGTCATGTTAAAAGACCGGTGGAGAACACTGTGCAGGATCGAACAAGGCTAATTTGGACTACAGGAATCAACTCTTCTTGACCTTTCCCTAAATAAGGACCTAGTCTAGCTTTTCAGAATAATAACTTATTACAGTCTCAGAGTGTCCAGCAGTGTTGCTGCCCTAAAACATGAAACAGAATAGGCATAAAACATTCATGTGAGCTCACTTGCTCGGGTAATGATGACTTAAATGTAAAGCCTGGCCTTTTATCTACACGCAATAGATGACCTAATTTCTGAAATCTGAAAATGCTTGCAGTGATTTAAGAAAGGCCAATTATGTACATAGGGGTATTAAATGCCTGGCAACATGTTTAGCTTGATAGAGGCTAATAGAGAGTCAAGCATTCTGTATTTTTAAAGGGTTGTATCTCTAGTTAGACTGAGCTTTTTATCATTTTACTTCCTGCCATATAACCAGATCATTCTAATCCGATTTGCTTCACTTTGAAATTTTGGTCAGACTTGTCATCTCTGTCAGTAAGTTATACCAAAAAATATGTATGTATTGGTATTGCTAATTTTACAAACTGATTCCTTTTTTTGCAGTTAAAAATGTGATATTCCATGTAATTTTATATTTATAAGTAGTAAAGGTGCTGCCTTTTTTTTTTTTTGTGAAGAATTAAGCTTAAGTTCTAGGTGGAAGATTATTTTGAACTTATGTATATTGGCATAATAGCACTTTTTATCTCTCAGAAGAGATGGAAAACATATGGAAAGTAACAGTATGATACTAGCTCTTAACTTCCCTTGATTATCTTGTGCCACCTACCTTGTCCTGAGAAGTGGCTTCTTCTAGACCAGCAGGAAAGGGAAAGCTCAAAAACGAATGGCCAAAGTGGGGCTCAGTAACGAGTCTATGCTGACACTGATAGCACAGCTCGTGAGACACGTCTCATCTATGTTCTCCACTGTCTCTGTCTGCAGTGATAGAAAGCAAAGATACGCTCTGATGGGGGTAACTAACTATCGAGGTGTCAGTTGGTCACTGTAAATGTCCTGCTCGTGAGAGACTGTAATGGATGGATGATGATACTACGCTGTCTCTCTTGATTCAGATTGTGTGGAAAAGAGTTCCACAACCTCAGAAAACCCATACTTTCTACTGTCATACTGGTGTGAATCTAGTGACTTGAACTAACGTATCGCAGCATTCTTTTAAAAGTGAAATCTCTTCAATTCAGATGTTTTCTGTACCTTTGTCTTTGGATAAGGTTTTTATTTTACAAGAACCTTACAAGGAAAAGCATCTGTCCAAACTGGTCATAATAAAATAAACCTCTCTGAGATATTTTTCCTGGCTACAAATGAAGAGATATATTCTTGAAGGCTGAAATGTCCAGGAAGTATTAAGATAATCTCTCTGCTTTCTGTTTTGGAAGCCTGCTTCCATTAAGATAAAACGGTAAAGTACGGTTACAAAGGTTTGTTTCACACTCTTATTGTGGACGGGACCTCAGCCAGATCACCTTCCTCATTCTTGCAGGAAACCAGACGCTACGGTTTCTTCTTGCAGCTGCTAGAAGCAGTGGCAAGCAGTAGTCTTTAGGTTCCACAGAGATGCTGCATGTCTTACCAGTAAATTTTCTCAACCTTAAGACATAATTTCTTTTTAGCGAACATTGTGAATTTCAGGATCTTGATAAAATACAGGCTTCGTCCTTCAGCAAGGAATGCTAGAGCAGCTGTAAGCCAACAATTCAGAAAGTCATAGCAGGTATCTGACACGTAAGAAAGTGCAGTATGCAGCCTCTTTAATGCTGTAACAATAATTCAAGGTAAGTAATAGGTAACAAAATAAGGATTTGAGCTATCTGCATAGCAGTCTTGCCAGTGCTCTAATATTGCAGGTTTCTGTTAATCATTGTACATGAGCAGTTTTAACTAGTAATAAGTAATTTTTTTTAATGTTAGCCAAGGCTTTACTCACGAAGTCTTGTTTAGGTTCATCTGCCATAATGTTCACACTGTGTATTAGTGACATGAAGTTCTGAGCAAGACTACTTCCTTAACAACGCTGACTAGTCATACGGCTTTATGAAGGTGGCTGAACATGAAAACTGCAGTGTAGAGGAAGAATAACTTATCCACTTGTAGTATAAACAACTGTCTACATGATATTGAGAAGGAACAAAGGATCTAAACTGAAATCCGGTTTTAGCTCTCAGGCTTTCATTTTTATTCACCCTTGCTATTTAATGACGACAGTGACCATTCTCAGACTTAAGAATGTTTGGCTGGCTCACTACTGAGAAGGAGCAGTGCCTGTAGACAGGCCAGTAAAGAACGAGAACTTCAGAAAAAGCAGCTACTACAGTTAGAAACATTAGCTCTTTAATTACAGAAGAGAAACATGGAAACATGCTTCTAGTGTTCTAGATCAGTCTTAGCATTTTGTATAAAGGCAGAGAGAGTTTCCCAAAATGCTTCTTTCAAAGTTCTGACTCCTTTAAAGTTTGTTTATGCTCCCAAAAATGCAGCAGAAAGATGTAGGTTTCTTGGCATTGGTGTTAATTTTCTTAATCTTTTTGTTGTTGCTGTTTTAAAGGTCTTTTAAACTCTTACGTAAAAATAAAGCTATGCACAAGGGGACATGAACAGTTCTCCAGTTGCCGAATCTTCTTCCAGGTTCCTTGGCACTGAGAGTTGCCAACTGCTTCCCAGTGTAAGATTTTACCTCTGAAATGTGACAATAAATGAGGAATTAAAACACTGAAAACTCTGTATTTCATGTTACTAGGTTGTGTTGTATAACATGTCAGAAGATTAGATTAGACTTTAATTAGCTCGTCTAGCTCTTAAAATGCTTTCTGGAGCAGGCGCTATATTCCTAAGTATATAGTATATAGGATGGTGGATTGAGTAGCTGGTTGTACAGGTATTAAGTAGTATGCATATTAATAAATGTACAGATCAAATAAAAATCTGTTCCAAATATTAAATGTCTACTTTCAAAATTACTGTTCTAGAAACCAGGTGTATAGGTTTGAGGGGAGTACTGATCCACCGCTGTTAAACCTGAAATCAGATTTGGACCATGGCAGGAAATACCGGTTTTAAGTAAAAGTGCCCATAGCTGTAAAAAGACCTTTTGCACTACAGAAGTTGCATCATCCCTTCACAATAGTAAATAAATCATTCAAAACACTGAACTCTCATATTGAAATTATTTCCCAATTTTATCTAGGTTTTAAAAGCAATTTCTGTGAGAACTGAAAGGGTAAATCTTCTGAGCTCTACAAGCGATATGAGCCGTTTCATTTTTTAGGTATAATAAATGCAGCTTTTAATGAGACCTTGAGAAGTCTTAACTTCTGTACTGGGTTTTGCTACAGAAGAGACAGCAGAAAAATGGCTTTCTTTACCCATCTGCATTATGGCCATCTCCAGAACAACGATGCGTGTCAGTGTTCATAGCTGGAGGCTGGCAAGCTACGCACACGGTATGTCCTTCTCGTAGGTACTGCATCCATCGAGTGTACGGCCGATGCTCCGAAGCACAGTGGTGTGACAGTGATTCTGTTTTAAATTCCACGCAGTATCTGCTCAGAAGGAAAAGTACTAAATTAGTTGTGATAGATAAAGCACAATCTAGGTATACATTTTAAATGTACTTACATATCGTACGGGTGGTATTTGTGAAGTGCAAGTTAGACAACATCATCGCTAACAAGTCTGTTTCTGACCCTAACCTAATCAACAGTTTCTTAAAAACACTACGCAAGCTGTTTCTCATTCCGTGCCCCAGTCCAGTGCTTTATGTATAATCTCAATTTCTGGTTGTGTTCTGTATTCTTAAATTATGTTGAAATGAAAACCCGTATTTTTTCTTCTATGCTGCTAAAAGAGAAAATGGAAAAGAGGTTTTAAGAATACCAGATAGGTTCTTGTTCTGGGGAAAGTAGCATAGCGTAAAGCATTATGAGCATTACAGACCCAGTGACAGCCTAATTTAAACTTCATAACTGTCACTACTGGTAACCAAACAAAATTTTTTACTCCTTGTGTCAATTAATTTTAAAGAAAAAGGTCTCTCGAGACTGATCACATTCAGCCCATTTTTGTTTGTTCAGAGACCTGCGTCTGATTTCTCAGACTTACACTTACGGATACATTCGGCTTTGGTTTAGCATTATTTACTGTTTCCTTTCAAAAGCAGCTATCCTCAGATTTGCCATGACCCCAATATCTAATTCAGGACAATTAGCAAGTAATGAAAAACAACATCTAGAACATGCAAATGAACTGCAGGACAGAAAAAGAGTACAAGCTATAGCTTATTTTTTAATTATTGCAAATTCAATTGCATTTTTCTCTGTAGCCAGCTATTTTCTATTGAACGAGATGACCCACATGCATATGATAAATAGATTACCCAGCTGCTTCTTTGTCTGAAGGCCAGAGAGAAGATGCTGCTCGTCGTTTTCTTTCTTTACTGTATTCAGAGGTAGTTATGAAAGCAGGGACTGAGGAAGAAAACAGTAAGGCAGCGAGACACAGTTGAGTCATATTTCAATTACTGTAACAGTGGGTGAATGAATGTGGATGGTGATGCTGACTGTATTGAAAAAGTGATAAAACGTTGGCAACATCAGACCTCAACCCCATTCCCTACAGCTAAGCTCTCTCCTTATTCAGAAGAAATATATCTAGAAATGCATGCCACCTAGTCTGTGAGGAAATAGGGTGTGCTGGAATCCTGTAAGGAGCTCTGTTTCCTGTTTCGTACTGAATTTGTGTTCTAACTTCGCACCGAGATAATTTGATACTTACTGAGGGGCTTAAATCAAGAAACTGAAGGAATGCATGCAGCTTAGTTGTTTACTTAATAGAAACTAAGAAAAGCCTGACTAGGAAAAAAATACAATAATAGTATAAAGAGCAATATGACAGTAGAAAAAGGTTTGAAACTTCGCACCGAGATAATTTGATACTTACTGAGGGGCTTAAATCAAGAAACTGAAGGAATGCATGCAGCTTAGTTGTTTACTTAATAGAAACTAAGAAAAGCCTGACTAGGAAAAAAATACAATAATAGTATAAAGAGCAATATGACAGTAGAAAGTAAGGTTTGAAATTGTATTTTTAACCAGCTAGCTGCAGATAGATGCTTTTTTTTCTGTTTGTTGACGTCAGGAAAATTTATGAAGGCCCTGATGGGCACAATGTACAGGTAAATCAAAGAGAATACCATGTTCATGGCCGCAGTCCTCTCCCTGGTAAGTCAGGTATTCCAGGCAGCCAGCCTTCTCTTCTAGAGCAGGACAAGGTTCCCCACCGTTTTTAGGTTCCTGTTGTACATAGCGCCTACGTATCCGCAGATTGGGTTGACATCGTTCTGCACAGCCACTCCAATGACTCCACTCCCCCACGACGCAGGGAAGAGCTGCAAAGCGGTATTAAAACACTACTAGTAGTCAAGACCTCTGTTTTATCCTAATTGCTCCCAAAAGCTTGAGTAATAAGACTGTGTCTGTTTTTTTCTTTCTTACATACTTTTATTTACAGTGTTTTAAATGCTCTTCTAGGAGTTTGCATCTTCAAATTTAACATTCAAACCTGCCTGCAGTGCTTGGCTCCCTAGTCCATCCCTTGTCCAGAAGGAAACAGCTCCTCACACAAACCTTTCACTACAGCTGTGGGGTTCTTCTGTACCCTCTTCTGAAGCATACAGCATTAGCCCCGGAGGAGACCAGCTCATGGATTATCTAGACCAGTGAATGGTCTGACCTACCTTGGCAGTTCCTACACCACCAGATTTTGTTTAAAGGCTGGAAGATCAAGTAGCAGAATTCAGGAAGCCTTTCAGCCCTCTTGATTCCCCTCAGACTGATTTCTAACCCCTTTTCCTCAACACTGAAATAAGTTCCACTGCCACAGCTTTGTTGCCCTGTTTTAACACGGGGTGTCCTGCTCCACGGTCCTTGCTGCAAAGGCAGTTTTTGGTGATGATTTTGGTTTTGTTTAGTCTCAGAACAATGCAGGGACATGTGTAGAGTTGTTTCTGTGTCTGTATAGCTACTGATATAGATAGAGCTTTACAACAATGCAGCTATTTAAACTTACTAAATAAAATGTATAAAAATGTGATTTTAAGGCCCTCTTTTGCTCATTCCCAACTATAGAATAGTCCACTGGATATTTGAATTTTAGTTCTCATGGATCACAAACTTCCTCTGAACTTGACCAAAACATTATGGGGAAAGTGCCATTATTTTGAAAGTAAACTTTGAATCATAAGAACCTGCATTTCCCTCAGGCAGAGCATCAATAGTACAGGTACCATACACTTGTACCTTTGGTCTCTCCTAACCCAGCCTAATACTCAGAGGTACAAAGAACTTCTCTCTTCATCTGTTAAATTCACATGTATTAGGTGAGCTCACTGAAGGTCTCAGATGAAGAAAGAAAGAAAAATGCTTTGTTTTGTATTCTGTGGTATTTTTCTGGCAACTGTTGAAACCTTTAGCCCAGTTTATGGCCTTTGACAACTTTTTGATTAAATAACACACAGGTTCCTTAGAAAAAAACTAAGTCGTCATGTTATGTAGAGAATGAGCCCTTATTTCATGTTTGTCACTTTTTGTAACCGTTCCAGGAGAGGTGTAAATGATAGACTAAGCATCTCTTAGTTTCGGTATTGTCTTGAAACTCAGAAATGCTCAGATCTATCATATCTGTTATCTACTAGCCATTTCCTTCCTTATTTTATTCTCTGCAGTGCATCTAATAATGATGGCACGCTCCTTGTAGTTCTCATTTATATTAAGCATGATACGCGTTTTTCCGATCTATAGTTCTCCCTTCTCTTGCATTTCTCATTTATATTCTGGCAAAACAGTAGCCCTGTGTCAACCTTGCTAATGTAAGCATGGACAATATGCCAGATATCTTCCAGATGGATACAAATAATCTACTCTCGAAGAAAAGGTTTTGCAGCCTGATTCCCAGAATACAGAAAGAGGTGATGGACACACTATTCCGGAGTAAGAAGCTACGTAACACAGAAGTCTTCACGTTATTTGTGCATTAACTCAGTACACAACAGTAAAAAACACACAGCCGTTTCACATGTTTCCATGAAACAGAATTTTCTTTAGCCTCATCTCCAGGAACACCAAGCCCCAGGTTTTGAAAACTGTGTGGCCTAACAATTTCACTTTTAGCAGGCAAAATGAATACTACAGCTCTTCAAACCTGTACTGAGGGCTGAGCCCTGGTGGGGCTGGATGAGGATGATGTCTGGGTGCTTACTGATGGAGCAAACACAACCCCTCCAACAAGGAACTTCAAGTCTACACAGCCTCGGCAGGCAGAGCAGCAAAAGAACAGGTAAGAAAATTGTCTCGCACATGGGCATCCATCAAGATGAAGAATCCCCTGAGGATAAGCAGTCATTTCCCTACACGAGTAGTCCTCAACCTGTGGCCTACGAGGACATTTAATCTGACCAGCGGTCCATTCCCAGTAGCCTCTTTTCCTGGAGGCCACCTGGTAGGTGCTCCAGGTTGGGCAGCTGCATTCCTCCGGGCCGCTTCTGCTCTCGTCAGTGTGTGTGGCCAGAGGGAATGTCCTCTGCCTGGACACCAGTGGCAGTACCAGCTTTCCCGTGCCTGCACGGTATGCTGCGGGGCTGTCCTGGTTTCGGCAGGGATAGAGTTAATTTCCTTCCTAGTAGTCTTTTCCTGGAGGCCACCTGGTAGGTGCTCCAGGTTGGGCAGCTGCATTCCTCCGGGCCACATCTGCTCTCGTCAGTGTGTGTGGCCGGAGGGAATGTCCTCTGCCTGGACACCAGGGGCAGAACCAACTTTCCCGTGCCTGCACGGTATGCTGCGGGGCGAGCAGGGAACGGCTGTGTCTGCGGCTTTCCTTAACCGTGAAATAAGACAAGCAGTCAAAACGCTGCAGCACTGTGTACTAGTCCATGCTGCTTTCCCTAATATCATTAGCTGCTTTTTGTCCTCTGATAGGCTTGCTTTTTCAATAAAGTTATAATTAATGTCATGTAATTGAAATACTAGCACATAGTGTCTTATAAAAACTTAAAGGTACCTATGTTAATATTAGAGTTTCTTATTGATATGGAAATTGCCCAGTTCTTCAAAGACTTGTTTTCATTGCACATTGCAAATAGGCTTAAAACTATTTTCCATGTAGTGTGAATCACATTTTACTTTGCTTTTCCACTCCTTTATAAAGGCAGGTCTTCAACGTGATACTTAGAGAATGGTACAAAATACATGTTATAATCAATGGTTGGGCTATCTTAAATTGGTTCTGAATTGTTTTGGGTCATGCCTCTCATTAGTTAAATGAAGCTTTTTCCTTTCCCATGTATGCTGTTTCCCATTAGCTTGTAATGGAACATATCACATGTTTTCAATCTTTTTTTTTTCCTATATTACAATTCTGATTACAATTTAAATCCCCAAGAAGCTTTACAGCTTAACCACTCGTTACGTACTTGTATCAGCATTGCAGGAAAGTGATGGGACCAAACTAGCCTTTCAGGAAAGTATTTTATGCCCTCTGGGATTCTGCCAGTACAAGACATTGGGAAGAAAGAGTAAAATGTGATAACCTCTTTGGTGTTTGTGACTCTTTTCATAAGAGACAGAAATTGCTGGGTTTGCTCTGTCACTACATCTCTAATTTCTTGGAGCGCTACAGACATCATAAAGCAGATAAAACCCCTGACAGAGGCTACCCGGCAGATGTCCTTACTGCACTATTACAATTCCCCTTCTTTCCTCTCACTGTGCACCTGTTCTGACCAAACCTGCCCGCTTTTGAGTGGTCTGACAGCGCCAGGCGTACGCATGGCCGAGGATGCTGCATCCCACGCCCTAAGGAACTCCGCTGAAACAGAACCACAGAGCAGCCCTGGGCATTGGGCCACCAGCTGTCCATCCTGCTTAGCTGTTAGCATTCTCTGGCATTTTCTCCTACTTACTGATAAACACCTTCCCAGACAGCTCCTGGGTATGATTTGTAGAACAGCACTGGAAAATAACATGGAAAATGCATATGGCTCCCTTCGCCACACGCAGATACCTGACGCTGCACCACGAGGCACTGCCCTCAGACACATCTAGGTACCCCAAGGCACACGAGACAGTCTCTGTGGCTGTGAAGGCACCACTCTAACACATTGCAGCACAACCCTCAGCCGTTTGTTTCAAGCATTTTGAACTAGAAAAAAATCAAACCAGTGATAGTAAAAATGTCTTAGACCCCACCATGGGCTAGCCAGGACAAGTGCTAAGTGCAGTATGGACCTCACAGTCTTTGCCACCTGGTCGCAGAGCCAGAGAACAGTCCTTAGCCCCACTTTATTTAATAGTACAAGCATAGACTTCAATGCCTGATCATCCATCTTAGCTCTACCTAGAGTACCCAAAGGACAGTAAGTGTCATCTAGCCCAATTTCCTTATCTGTTGACTCTCTTCCAAGCTGGCTGTATGAATGACCTGCAGAAGTAAGAATTTCCACGTAATTTTAATCCCATATTAGCACCTTGATATGCAGATAACATCAGGTCTAACATCACATTTTCCACGCAGAAAACTCCCAAAGGGACTGAGTAGCTGCATAACAAATAAAGCGATGACTTCACGTCTTACTGGAGTTAAACCAAGCTGACAGTTAAATATTGATCGTCTGCAGCAATACATGGCAATTTTATGACCATCAAGATTTAGAACAAGAAGTATGAATTGCCTTAGTCATGTGGAATAATAAGAATATTGGGTTGCTAGAATGGAATTTAGCCAGTGGGATAATAATGTCACTTTTGCAGTCAGTACCCAGCAACTATTAAGGGACAGTACATCAGTTTTGTGCCTCATTGGAAAAATGTCAAATTCCTCAGTATGACAGAGAACGGGTCCCAGACCTGACACAAAAAAGGAATGGCACCGTCTCCTGAAATACAAAAAGAAGTATCAGGGACCCATAGCTACATCTTTATGGTCTCTATGTTACTATTGGTCCAGCTTAGTTAACACGATGGTAGATGATGCTTCATTGAAACAATGAGAAGGATGCAAGTCAAAGGAACCTGAAGGACAGGATTTGTGCTCAGGTACCTACCAAAATCTGGAAGCTAATGAGACACTTGGAAGTTCAAAAATACACAGAAAAATTACATTGCTATCCTATGAAACACAGCTTGAGTGGTCAGGACTTCCCCCCCCCCCATTTACAGCACTGTGAATCATAGATTTTTTTTTTCTGAGTCACACTCTATTTAATTTTTTCCCATCTCTGGAAAAAAGAGGATTACAGTATCTTCACTGAATCACTGCACAACATATGTTGTAATGTATAAGGATCTGCGGATTTTCTCAGAGTAACCACTTCCATTCAAATGACGAGGTCATTCCTTTTTCAGGCTTTCTCATTGTACAGTAGTTCCTATTTTAAATGCTCTCTGTGTACAAAAATATTCTTTCTTCATTGTTAGAACTATAAGGAAATTCATTTAAGAACCCTTGGACTTCGGTTCAGCAGCCCATGGACCATCTATTTATAAAGTACCAGACCTACTGCGATTTTTAGGCATGACAGAATTTAACCATGGCATTGGCAGCTTTAGGACGCCCCTCCTTTCAGTGGTTTCTATTATTTTGGAGCATTGTTTTTGTATTGTTCCTAACACATTTCTTGATTGCATATACTTGAGGCACTTTACACTTTCCCCAAATTCTTCATCCTGTTAAATATTTGCAAAAGGATGAAATGTCATTTCAGAAGGTGCTGAAATAATGAGTGGCGAACAGGCTGACAAACAAGCTGTAGCACAAGAACCATTGGTCACCTTTCTTCACGTTTCTGTTTTAAATTTTTGAACTCTACATTCAAAACAGTATTTCGGAGTGAACTATGCCAATAAACACCCTTGGTGTCATTAAACACATTGACAGAATTTAGAAACACTCAATGGGGAGACCTCAACATCCAACAGGAACAAAAATGACTTCAAAATTTCCAGCCATACTTGTCTAAGCTGATATAAACTGCCACTGGAACTACTTGGAATTTCTGATTATACAAAACCTAACTTACTGGCTGCTTGCAATAGAAAGTATATATGATCATTTGCCTTCAAAAGAATGACTTCTTGTGATCAGTTTTGCAGTTTTTGGATGTGTAAGTTCCAGGACCACCTCGCTAGGCTGCCCGGCCTCCCATGCTACACTCATGCAAAACATCCTGCTCCCTTTGCTTGCGCTAGCATTGGTGCTTGCACAACTGGGCAGCGAGGCAGTGCAGGGACTCAAACCAGCCAGCAACGGGCAATAGAGAAAACAGAAATCATTTCCTGCGGGTTTAGCTCCCTGAACTGAGCCACCAGAGACTGTCAAATTCCAGCTCTGGTGCAGAAGAGAGAAAGAGACAGAGAGACTTCACTGAGACTCCATCTTCCTGCCTGGATCTAGGGCACCCACTGTCCACGCAGGGTACAAGAGAGAAGCGGCGCAAACACATTGTGCCTTTTGAGGCAACCACCACTGACCTTGGGACAAAAACTACCATCTCGATAACAATAAGGCATCACCAGACGCCAGAAGTCATGCCAGAAGTCATGGTAAGAAGTGTCTCAACTAGAACTTTTCAAGCACAAGTTTGAGCTTCTTTTTGAAGAACATAGAAATTTTTATCGGATTACAGCTCCGTTTTAATGCTAACACTACGCACCTTTATTAGCTCTCTCCTGTTATACTTGAATATTAAAAATAATTTGATTTACTGAAAAGGCACAATATTCTGTGACTATATGACAAGCAAGCATCTTGTCAGTTCTCCCCCTACTGATTTTCCTGAATGAAAGATCAATATATTAAAAAATGCTGATTTTAAAGATGCTGCCTTCTGTCAGACCTCATGGTGCATGGGTTTTTTTTCCCTTGTTATTCTGGAGAGAATATTTAGCGATCAGAGAACTGACTGTGTTTCCTCTAGAGACCTGGGGTCAGAGTTCTGCTCTGCTGAGTCTTTCTGTGCAATTTTACATCACCAAGGACGGGTCTACACCGTCCAGTGGTCCTACTCCCCCTTCCCAAACCAGGCAGGCACAAGCCAACTTGGGTCCCAAAGCTATGTGGCTATGTCAGCACGGCGCTGAGCCTGCTAAACACACCCTAATTAGCAGGACTGTGCAGCAGAGACTCATGACTTTTTGGCTGTAGGCTGGTGTGCGTCCAGCCATCTGGGAAGAGACGGTAGGCTCTCCAAGTGCTAGTGCTGCACCTGTAAAGCCAGGGCAGTGTCCCGCACCGCAGACAGAGGGAGGGAGGACAAATTGTGAAGACCGCGAAGGATAGAAATACCACAGAAAGAGGGGGTGTAAATACCTACAAGACTGCTGGGTCCAATTTGGTAGAACTGGGCCACTTTCCCCTCCTTGCGACTGCTCCCCTGGGAGCCAGGCCTTCCCCCGTAGCTTGGCAGAAGACCCTCTCCCTCATTCCCCACACTCATTTTGAAGTCCTTGCCTTCACGGTGGATCCTTGCTGATTCCTGCCCCTAGTAATGAGGACAAAACCTCACCCTGGGGATTTCCCCTGTTATTTCATTGATACTTGTTTGGCAAGACACGAGGAATCAGCTCAGAGGCACAGACGGTGCTAAATGAATCTCCCTGTTGTCTCCGTAATCCTACATCCTCACTGTAATCAATGTGTGTTTGGGATGAGCATGAGTGAAAAGTAAGTAACGTCACATTTTGGAGGGAAAATAACTTCAGACAGGCAAACCCCAGGCACTGTACTACAGCTGATCCAGAAGCCTAGCAAATGCCTAGTGTGGGAAAAGTCCCTCTTCCCATTCCTGTGCCTGCTGCTACCCTCACGCAGCCCCAGCCTGGTCCCTGCTCATGCCCCCGCCCCGAGGCTCGTGATACCGGGGAGGAATTTGGCCTTGCAGAGCCCACTCTCAGCTGAGACCCTTACCGCACACCCCACCTCCAAACCCCAGGAAAACTTCCATCCCACAAAGCACCGGCAGGCAACCAGCTAACTATACCTGGAGAAAGGGACGGGGGTGCCCGGGGGATCCCCGCTCAGCCTG